TTACTTTAGATTCCTTTTCCTTATTCTGTAAATTCTTTGATTGGAATATAAATACTACTCGAAGTATGAATATTTTCACAGGACAATGATATAAATGGAACTTTAAAACTTTTTTAAGTGTTACAGTGATATTTCGTTATATCTTCCATAATGTCAATAATATTGATTTCCTTGCAACATCCATAATTATTACAAATGTCAATATAACGAAATATCTTTTATGCGATGTTTGTGGTGTAATAAAAATCTGTGTTTCGATTACGTTTTTGATACATATTACTCACTTATATGTAATAATAAAGAATAAAAATATACTATTAGTCCGATATTTGAAAAGATGCATGCGTTCGTTGTCACTGTTAAACTGTTGTAATAACAATGCAATAATAAAATAATTTACTCAAATGTACATAATAATACATATACATATCCATAAAAACAATATTAAACGCAATAACTTTTTTGTACGCGAAGAAAAACTAATATAGGTCCGTCGGGATTGGAATCCAAGACTCCTTTCTAATACGTCTAGTTTACAGTGAACGGACGGAAGAGAATCCGTTCACGACCATGGTCCCTTCGATGATTTTCCGACGTACCGAACACTCATGATCTGACAACATTGTACTTTAGACTTGACAACACTGTAGAAGTTAGACTAGTTGAGCTCGAATGGATTTAACGTAGTTCACAAATTCACCGTTCTCATAACGTAGAGGGCAGCAGAAAATCCCTGACTTTTTACACTATCGGTATTTCAGAACATGAGACACGAAGTCCCATAAGATGATAGGTCTATCCTATACCTCGTCGGTGATACTAGTAGTATTTAAGACAATTATTGTGAAATTTATTTAAATACTACTGTAAATTGTGTATTTTTTTAGGTTTATTAAACCTACCACTACGCTTATCTCATATTTTCCATAAATAAATATATAGTAATTGGTAAACTTAGTTAAAATTGCATTAAAATAAATTTGCTTTCTATTTAGCGCGAAATTTGAATTTGAAAAAGTGCGGGAAACCTGAAAAATTGAGGGTTTGCCAAAATTATGGTAGCCACCTGGTGGCGGAAATTCGAACTAAATCCATAATTCTTGACTTAGTTCTGGAAGTTGCCACCAGATGACGCCTCATGTCAGTGTTTTTTTGTGGTTTCCCGCACATTTTTTTAATGTTTAGAGTGTATTATTTTGCTATTATTTACTGTTTCTTATTATTTTATTGGTAAATTGAAATTAGGAATACAAATCGGGTAAATTTGTACTATTATGCCGGAATTGGTCGCCTGGTGCAGCACACATATTCGGGGACAACGAATTCCCGGGCATGTGCACTCTGATTTCCTCTCTGGAAGCAACAAGAGTATCTATAAAAAACTGGTGTTAAATTTATTTATTTCAAGAGGACTGAATAGTTTATTGGATACCTATCAAGGAAGACCACTGACTTTATTCATCCATTCTGTGTGTTAACATTGTTCGAAAATGATTTAAGATACAGTCATCGAGTTTCTACTGCCTATAGACTTTTATATGAAATATAAAATGAATGATTTTTAACCCTTTGCGATCGACATTCGCAAGTCGTCGTAGAAGACGGTCCCGCCACTGTGGCGGCATGATGCCATTCATGATTGTTTTGCAAAATATCACACTTTGGAAAATAACAAAAATTAAAAATTTATGTTTTTTTTATTATAAGTACTATTAAACACAATAAATCAGTTTCAACAAGTTCTGTGTGTTTTAATATGCATATATTGACTTTAAATCCCATACGGAAAAGTAACTGCGAAACGCTAAATTTGCTCCGACCTGTTGGTACTCCCATCACCGAAATCTATCGACCGCAAAGGGTTAAAGTATGTACACACGCTTGGAAACCTGAGATTATTCAAGAGAAAATTTATTTTGTTATCATTACGTAATTCGTACACAGTCATTGTTAGGAAATTAACCATCCAAAACGTACGTAATTCACAATTACGAATATTCTTAAAAGAAAGCACTGACAATGAGTCACATTTTTTTGTTACTGGAAGAACACTCTTGATAAATCTACAACTGACTGTCGAATATGTTATATCGATCATCATGTGGTGACCCTGTGGTTCCATATATCCTACCAATTAGTTACTAGATCATGGACTAACTTCTAAAAATGAAAATTAAGCAGAAATTCGTTTTACCTTCCAATAAGTTTATCGATATCTTGTTTTCTTCTGTACGACAGACTTTTCTGTAAACACAGAAAGTCTGCGGTCTATAAACTATTGTAATGAATGAAGTTTATAACAAATTATCTAGCATCTGAGAATATATTCACATAAATACGATAAAAAGATAACTTCGTAAATGGTATAATTTTTAAAGCATTTGTACGTAACGTTAGGTATAATTATTTAGGACGAGTATTTTATGTAGAATACTCTCCTTTCTTCGTCACGTTATTGGAATATTGTTAGTAGCATCAGAAATATTTATAAATTCCAATAAATATGTGTTCCAAATATGTACATTACGTTGTTAAATACAACTTCACTGTTGAGGTATGATCCTTTTCATTATTTTAGACGTCAATTACACATTCATCAACTTTTCTAACCAATAATGCTTGTAGTAAAGGCTCGTGGAAAATCTGGTGCCACGAAAGTGTAGTAATATTTTTAATACTGTATCCCTCCTTGAAGACGCAGTTGTTACAAAGTGTCAGCGAAGAATGTGAAAGAAAGTGTGAATAATTTCCTATGGCATCAATGTACTTAAAAAATATTTTCATGTATCCAGTGTTCTTACTTCTAATGTACTTTGTCTCCTCCATACTACAGGTACATTAATTTTTACTCAAAATTGTCATAAGACTATGCCATAGAATAATAATTACAAAATTTGCAAACATGATTTTAATTTTCTTTAAAGATTTTCATACATTTTATATAATTTGTAAAGATTGCGACTGAGATCGATGTGCCGGAACTTCGACTATTAGCATCGAAATTGAAACCAGACGAGTGTGTGAGATTTGTCTCCCTGGATACTCAATGTAAGTAGACCATATTTATACGTTAATAATTTACCTGAAATTAATTTTACTATTATAAAATTTCAGAAATAATCAAACAAATTGAAGAATATTCAATTTTTAAACGGTGAAATAACTAGCAGTTACTAATTTGTCACGCAATGTTGCAGATCCACTGTCCGACGGCGAAGTACAAAAACTAGCTCGGGAACAAAGCTGTTTCCGAAGACTTATAAAATGGATCTGTCAAGTAAGAACAGTTACGAAAAATACGTACCCAATCGTAAACGACATTCTTGAGCGGATTGGAAGAGTAGACTTAGTTGCATGCCTGACCAGACTTAACATGAAAGCTTCGAAGCCTCCGAAAGTAATTCGCGATGTGCAAGCAGCTGATGATTCAGAGTAAGAGTTCTTGTATAATGTGATCTCGTTATTATTACTGCCAGACATTGGATTATTTTTCATCGGGAAATGTTAACCGATATATCAATAAGAATGAAATTATCATTTCAGCATAAGGTATGGAAAAGATTAATAACACAGAAGCTGGGTAATAAAAACTAAGAATAAGTAAAGGTACATCATTTTATGTGTCAGTCGTATGCAGAATACCGTGTGTCATGGACATAGCCAGGGGTGGGCAGGGGGTTAGGTTGCCCTCCGACCCCTGGACGGAAAAAGTTGCTTTGACCCCACCCTACAAGAAAAAAAATTGAATTTAGCCACCCCCTCCCTCCCAGAGTTACAAAATTTTTGCGTAATACTTAATATTGCAGTATATTTTGAAATACGACCTCTGCTAACGATACGCATACATTTTTAACGATTTATGACTTTAACACGTTGAATGCCGTGGGGTCACCGGTGACCCCCACTCTAGGGAGTATACTTTTCAATATTATTAATAGTGTACCATAAATTGGTAAACTTCTACAAACTAAATACCAAAAGTATGATAACATAATTGACTTTAATAATTTTATATAACAATTTATTCTTCTAGACTCGGTGTAACGGAAATTTCACTTCGACACTGTGACTGAAATGTACGAAAATCCTGTGGCATTCAACGCGTTAAAAATAAAATAAAGCGTGTCTGACTACATACTGTCTTTTTCACTGTTGCCGTCGATGTGTTAATATTTTTGCACCCACCTCCTCGATTGATAACGAAAGTTACTTAGTATAAACGTTGTCGGTAAGGAAGAAACGTACGGTTGGTAGGGAAGGGATTTGGGATGTCGGTAAAGGGTTAAACTTCCGAAAACCCCCATGCTCCGAATTGTATGAAATTTTCAAAATAGGTTGTTTCTTTTTGACAAAAATGATGATTGCGAGAAGGATTTTTGGCGACTTGAAAAAAAGATTTTTACCATTTGAGTATCATTCCCTACCTTACCATACTTCGGACAGCATAGAAAGTCGTCTGTTGTTTTGGGGGGAGGGGCGGCAGCAGCATTACAGGATACTGCTCATGTTCCTTGAGTTATATGCTCACACTTCTCCCAGTTTCACCAATATAAACTTTTCTGCATGAGCAGGGTATTTTTTTAATTGTTCAGCTGACCAGCTAGCACAGTATGCCATAAACTTCCTGGGAGTGCTAGTATCAATTCAAGCTGATTTTAGACCAAGGTCTGTCTAATTCATATTAAAAACATAAGTTTTCTGAACCATTCTTGGTGTCTGTGACGTATATATTTATGTATCCTAATCTGAGAACTGTAGCAAAATCGTTTTGCTCTAATAGTTCCTTTGCCATTTTATTTATTTTTCAGAGATTATGAAGGAATTACAACCATTGCAGTGCAAGCCACCAAGCCGAAGGAGAAGGCTAGCCCAAAACCAGCCAAAGTAGACAGTAAAAAGTCAAATGAAACAATTGATAAGATTATTGGTAATGAACCGTCTCATTAACTCTGTAATTATTTCTTTAATTTTTTGCATGTTAATTAAACTTGTTTCGATCAATCACAGCACAAACATTTTTCAAGATATCACTACAGACTGCAGGAATCGTTATAGTATCCACTATACTCTTAACTTGCTGCTGTACTTTGTTTATAAGGAACAGGTTTTCGAATTTATGCGGGAGGATATTTAGAAGAAAAAAGAAGAAAAAAGGGTAAACGACATTTCTTAATACTTATCGTAACTGTATTTCGTAATTATACCTGGTGTTAATGAAAACGTGAGACACTTTCATTGGGTGGATTCTACATTCACAAGCCGGTACTCCAACAAATAAACACTACATAAATCAAGGATACTAACAATGACAAAAAAATTCATATATGAATGAAATCAAGCAGTTACTCATCCAATCCTCATATAACATGGAAATATTAATAAACATGGCTGCTAATAGTGCTATGAAGGTAAGTGCTGCTTTTTCCGTACCTTTTGCTATTAAAATTTCCCAAACTTGTTTCGTTGATATATTTTTAATTAATATATTCATTGTCACGTGACCTCGTATGGTGTCACAGTGACTGTAAAATCGCGTCATTCCACGCCAAATCAATGACTTTCTTGTAGTACGTCTTTCGATTTTTATGGAACTGTAATATGTTGTAACCTATGTGAAATAATGATGAGTTTATGTCATCCTTTTGCTGGAATCAAAGTTATTAACAAATTCTATCATATTAAAAATCGCGAAAAAGCGTGTTTCTAGCCAATGATGACTTAGCCCCACCCTATTTTCACATTATGTATAACATATTTCAAAATTAGCAAAATTCCAGAGATCGTGTACAAAAGTTATCCGCTTGGCTTGGTATGACTAAAAATGTTTCATATCAAATTTGTTTAAGTTGAGATTACATACAGCAAGCTTAATAGAACACTTGAATGTTTTTTAATTGTGATTTACGGAGATTTTAGTAACTATGTCATTTTTAAATTATTGTCGCGTTATTAAACATTCCAACATGAATTCAACAACATATTTGAAAGTTCTGTTTTTACAATAATTAACAAAAACCTATAGAAGACCAATAATTTTAATGCTTCATTCAGCAGAAAAATTGCCCCTGAAGAGAGGGTGAACCTTAGGGGTGGTTGGAGGGTGGGGAACCCCACAGTCATTTTTCTAGGCCACTCGAACTGATGCCCCTCAACTTCAATACAGTGATTATTTTGTAAATATCTCGTTAACTATTAGGTTTAGGACGTATGAAGGTCAACACATGTTCACACAGAATTTGATACTTTATCGATCTGTAGTACAAAATATAGGTCATTCCGTTAAAAAAAAATTAAAGCGATCTTGAAATCTCTGAAATACCTCCACCCACAAAAAAAGCACGTACCTTATAAGATGTGCCCCTTGAGGCTATTTAAGTTCCACGTCTCAACATTTTCATAAAGTGTACCGTTAGGTCATTACTCGAAGTGATAAGTTAGCTGAGACACAGTGTATTTTCTAAGTCGTCTCGAAACGAAGAGTGACCCTCCTCGCCTAGGAGGTCCTTTCGTCGTCGTCAACAGAAAGCTCCTCAAGGGGGATGGCTAATTTACGACGTCCGTGACGTCACGCTATCGGGCCCCGTTGCTGCGATCGCCTTACTATAAAACATTACGACAGTCATCTGGGCGTCCGGTCTTCTCCATTTTACGTTGGGAGTTCCAGTATATATGTATCTTAATATTATGATTATAAAGTGTTAAATATACATGAGACTTACAAATGTAAGTCGTATAAAACAAGTTTTGTACTTTCAATTTGAAAAGTGTGCCGTTTTCAGATTTGTCTCTGTTTTATATCTTAAACACCAATTATGCTTAATAAACAAAATGAGTAAATGTAAAACATGAAAAATCATAGAAGTAAACATTTCAGGCTGAAATTAATTTTTTTACCAAAAAAAATTTCACACTCGGCGTTTAAAGTGCAACAATGCATGCGGACGACGCTCATCGTATCTTGTGGCTCACCTTTAACCTTGTCGTGATGAAATGATTGCTTTTAGGAATTTGTCGTTTACCTACCGATCTTCGCAGCTGTCATTGAAAAATCAAATTGCTGCATTTATTAACTTTCCGCAGTACTCGTCAATCAGTAATCATTAATTGTAATTGATCAGCAATCGATAAAATTAACGTTTCAAAGGTAGATAATTCTTTCCTCTTTTAATCAACAATTAACTTTGATAAAACAAAAACTTGTCTTTTACATAACGTTGAAAATTAAGTTAATGGCAAATATTAGTTTTTTAATTAAAGTTAAAATTATAGTTTCCAAAATACGTTATAACGATATAACTGTAACAACTTCCAACACACAGTCACCACGTCAACGTGTGTCGCCAAGATCCGATGACTCGGCAATGAGTAGAGACTTCGGAAGTGCCGAAAGTGGTGTCACAGCTTGCGCGCACGCCTCATGCCCAAGGATCGCGACACAAGACAAGCGAGTGATGGGGCCTGATGTTATTGTTTATGTGGCCCCACGGGCGATTGTTTGGCCAGGCCTGACCTATTGCAATGTACAAAACCGTAAACAGATTAAAACTTAAAAACTATAAAATAAATCGATTTTTAAACAATCTTAATTATAGTTAATGATAAGCACATATACTGTTAGTCCATCGCACTGCGGTGATGCTAGAATTTGGGCCCCGCGGGAAACTCGACTGATTCTCACTCGGCGATCAACGTGTTAAAAGTAAAACCATTCACCATTCCTTTGCCCACATGTGATAGCACGTAGATGATTTGATCATTGCGTCAAGGGTGTTATTTGAAACCGCGTCTAGAAGTATATGTGGTCTAAGATTTTGCCTGTATTGTTATCAATGAATAACTCGGAAACGAAGCCTTGCAAGTAATTTTGTCAATCTTGATTTAGTTTGGCATTTGGAATCCACCCTGTGAACACTCTCACCTTATTATTACCACCCTGTCAGGTGGCTTCTTCATAGACTCCGTAAGTTTTCTGTACAAAATAAACTCGACGTTATCCTCACAGTCTCTTACTTTCTATCACTTTCAATTTTGACCAAATAGAACCAGCTTACTTTCAGCTATCTCGTTACAAAATCATGACTACTTCGACAGCGCGAGCTCATAACGAACAAATTTAATATTCTTTTCCTAAACCGATATAGTAAAAGGTATTATATGAATGAAATGTGTCTGTCGGTTAGGAAAGTAATGGCTATTAAAATGGGAGACGCAGAAGACGTGTCTAGAAGCTATGTTGTAAGAAAGCCAAGGGCAACGAGAAAGAGGAAGCCATCGTATGAATTGATGAACACGGCTACAGGAAATGTCGTTCCCGTTGCACCCTTTGAATCTAGAGAACCAGTCCCAACGGGTTGTTGCAAGTGTTACAAGAAGAGAAGAAAGACAAGAACGAGAAAATCACGCAGTTGAAAATAATAAATTAATGAACGTTTGCATATAACTTTTATGAAATGTTTTACTGCATTTGTGTAACGGTCTCGAAATGATTGCAGCCAAGCATTCGAATATGGACGACTTATTTGTCGCCTTTCGGCAAACAATTGTTTCGTATGACTACAACGAGAGAAGGCAGTCATCGGCCAGCCACGTGGGAAGTCACTTCTTATATTATTACTTTTATATTAAATAAATGTTTAAAAAATAAAACGTTAATAATAAACGTTTGAGTAACAATCAATATCTACTTCTGACAATACCGTTGATTCCAAAACCTACATACAGTAATTCAGAAAACTCTCCGTACCCTGTGCTTGTAATGATTTAATCCTCTACAGGGTGTCCCAAAATAGCTTCGACTCCGGGGAATGAGGGGTTCCTGGGATGATTTGAAACAACTTTTTCCTTAGAAAACTTGTTGTCCGAGGCTTCGTTAACGAGATATTAACGAAAAACCTCGACCAATCAGAGCCCAAGTCTGTCGGTCGAGTTCCCGCGGTAGCATTAGCTATCAATCGCAGCCCGCAGCCGACGCTACCGCGAGAACTCGGCCGACAGACTCGCGCTCTGATTGGTCGGGGTTTTTCGTTACTACCTCGTTAACGAAGCCTCGAACAACAATTTTTTTAAGGAAAAAATTGGTTTAAATCATTCCAGGAACCCCTCATTCCCGGGAGTCGAAGCCATTTTGGGACACCATGTATAGCAGAAATGCTCACGAGTTATTCCCGAGCCCGTATTCCCCTCCGGAGCGTACCTCCATTATGAGACTCAGAGTCTTAAACCGGTATGATTTGATACCAGATATAGTACCGAAAACCGAAACAAAAACCGGTATTTTTTCGGTTTCTATAAGGGTAGGGCTTATATAGGGCGAAGGTACAATTGAAAATATCGGTATTTTACGTTTCGGTAGAAGCTCGGATACAGGATGACGCAGGACGTCTTCCTGCCACGTCCTCCCGCCACGACTCCATCGTAGCAGCTTGAGTCCCATATTGGGGGTACCCTCCAGAGGGCAATATGAGCTCGGGAACAACTCGTGAGCATCTCTGCTCTTTAGTATGATTAGAATAAATACTATTACAGTGGACTTTAACCATATTGCCATAGTCGGGGCTGTAGGGCAGTAAAATGGCAATAACTTCAAGCCCTTTCCATGCTAAGTTCTGTCGTTACAGCCTAGGTCTCAGCGCCTGCGCAAAAGCTAAATTGTTCTGGTCCGCCGGCGCACGCAACGTGGCGGGAGAGCGAATTTGTGTGCTTGAAAGTACGAGTGAAGGGGAAGTGCCTTGCGTGGCAATATAGTTAGAGTCCACTTTGATGTAGGATCACGCAATCCAGTAAATCCTCGATGAGTGTTTGAAGGCTTCCAGACACTGACAAGGAGAAATCTCCAGGTGGTAACAATGATTTTGTAATAAGGTTTGGTACAGCAATAGAGCTTAGAATTCTGAAGCCAATGATACTTGTTTCAGACGCGTATGGCCATTAGTTTATGAAATATTTAATATTCAGTGCCGAGGCGCCTTCGAACACTCATCGAGGATTTACTGTAGTACGTCTTTTAAAAAATGTTCGATACTGGCCGTAGCTTTCGGATAATGTGATTGCCAGCCCACACGAGAGTGTGAATAGTTAACCGACTACTTTGGACATTTATTAAACGATTTATGGCAAATTTAAAGTCTGTTTCGGAATCAAAATGTCAGAGACGCGTTCGACATAAGTAGACTGCGGATGTTTATGCATTATACCGTCGCCTAACTTGCGAAACGTAGCAAAATAAAGACTCCAGTAAAATGTAATATTATGAATGCATTATTATTAACATATTAAAACCCATAGTATAGAAAAGAAATTTCTGCGCAATTTTGTTTTTTCCACAGTGTCCACCGTAATACACTCGCTCATCGTGAACTTACATCAGCGAATTTGTAGTCATGATAAGACTTTTATTGTCATTCTATCCCATATTACAGACTTACTAAATTTTATCTATCTAAATTCAGCATTATCGTCGAATCAGCGTTCGAGTTATTTTTATTAAAATTGTATATATCGTACATAATACTAATGAACAGTGAGAATCTGACAAAGAGATCTCGGTTGAACTGTATTATTCACTCGCTTAGTGCTTGCTCACCATTAGTGAAGAAATTTGGTCCAATTAGAAAGATTTTATCGTTCTTGGATTAACGTTCACGAAGCGACGCAGCGTGTAGGTACTAATCGGTGGAACAGTATACTACATTTTTGTGTCACGTATGTTCAGGGGAATCAAAATAGATATTGCCGTCGTATAATATTTATTAACTCCCTCTCAACACGACGAGATCATGTGTTGGATTCTGGTTCAGCACCGACCTCACATTAATGCATTCGCCTAACCTATATTATGTGTACGTAGTCACACGTGCACGCTTGTGTATACACATATGTACATAAAACATGTGTGCGCGAAACAATGTAGTATCGTTACGAAATTAAGAGAAACACTTTACCGTCTTCATTGTTGTTACATTTATTCAGTCGACACAGGTAAATCTCAAATAATGATCCTCTTGTCAGCTATCTTTGCTGATAATACAGTAGTGTTCCGCTATACGTTAGGCCAAGTTGGTCCGTTAAATGCGTCTGCTTATCCCCACTACTGAAGGTGGGGGGCGGAGGAAAGTTTCTACCATTGCAACCAATCAAGTAACGTAACACACCAGTGGCTTCCTTTCCACGAGCCGAAGGCTAAAAGTTTGGGAGCCAAAAAAAAAGATTAAAAGTCTGCGCATCGGCAAAACAACACTAATGCTACGATGAACAATTTTTATTTTGGGTTCTTTTTAATAAAATTTTTATTATCATATTGATGAGATTTTTCTGATTACAATGATACCACACGCGGTATCGTAAACAGTAAAGAAAAAGTGAGTCAACAGTTCTGATGATTTAGAAATGATCAAAATTACAGTAAAGGCTCCACGAGAATTGAATAGGAAGTTTCTCGTGAGAGATTCTACTTCATCCCCTCCACTGTGGGAGGGAGAACGTGGAACTTGTCAGGCGCATAATTTATTGCGCCACCCCCCCCCTCTCGCTTTGTTGCCGAGGCTCAGACGTCGGTCAAAAAATAGATTTATGAAGAAGTGTTGAAACGATTTGCGGTGCACCGTGGAAGTTTTGAAGCGGTCCAGAGTTTCAGACTCTCATAGAGCTTTTACTGTATATCGTGTTTGGTGTCTCATTTTAATCAGAAAAATCTCTTCAATATGTTAACAGAATTTTCATTAACAAAGAACTAAAAAAGTAAAAAAGTATTATCGCAGCATTAATGTTCTCTCATCGATACGCGGGCATTTAAACTTTTGTTGGCTACCTCGACGCTCTGTGCCTTTTCCTATTTTAATTGCTGTCCTATTCTACCACCATCGCTGTCGGCAAAGTGCAAAGGCGCGAGCTGCGGAAGCCCGACCTAGAATTTATGACGTTGCAAAACGCATCGACTTGGACCGATATAAGGTCCAAAACGGATCCGACGTTTGAACGTACAACGGAGCTTTACTGTAATGCTCGTGTAAGGGTACTTTCACTAGGCTATAACAAATGTTCCCTGATAGATAACAGAAGAAGGTAACATAGGTGTGACTTAATTCAAGACGAAGGCGAACGAAATCTGTGCCTCAACTAACAAATCATGATGAAACTTTACAGGTATACAGGTACACAGTAATGTATAGGTACAACATAAATTCTAGAGACTTTATGTTCAAAACACATAAATCCCCATAAAGCTGCAAAACGTGTTAATCGTGCCAAAAATGTATAATGGTGCTTTCATCGGAGGACCAGAAAAACCTTTCTTGATATCATTAAATGTCACCCTTATTCCAGTTGCCAGAATCTAAGAGTTTTGTTAGAAATGAAGATCCCTACGAAGCGTTGTTCAAACAGTGATGTTATCCGAAGAATACAAACGTATCCTCTTGTAAAGTTTCATCAAAATTTTCCTTTTTAATAGGGTTCCTCGCAACGCAAACAATTCGTCGGATATAAATCGCTAGATTTTAAAAATGTCACACGCCCTACGCGTTCGCTATAGATTAGATACTGGATGTCCTAGATACATATTATACATATACGAACTACGGCTGAGTATTGATCTCCTATAGATATGCCTACGTTTTGTAAATACATTGTGCGGACTTACAGGTGTGTTCGACAAGAATGTGCCAACGAGACAACGGTATTAATTATCAAATCTCAAGTTATAGCCGACAATGTAGGCCGAGGCTGTAGGCCTTATGTAATAACATCCACGGAACCTACCGCAGATCGGATCCATTCAGAACGGAAACAGACTTGTAGGTAATAATTACATATAAGATATAAAATTGTGAAAGAAGCACCATAGCGTAAGAGATGGGTGATCGAGCGGGAAAGCGGTGTTGTGTTTTAGGTACTTTCCCGGTCGATCGTGAGTCCTTCTCACGTAGAAAAATATCATTTGTCAGCTTATCAATGAGCGTCGAGGGATACCCTTGTCACTCGGCTCCATGGCAAACACCGTTCTCATGAACGAGACTTGTGCAGGGTGAACCGTGAAAGATAGAAAGAATTGACGAAGGCAGCCCGCGATAGATTCTGACGTAGACTGAACGTGGAGATTCTAACGTGGAGATTCTGACGTGAAGAAGCGATTTCCACTGAAAAGCTAAGGGCCACCGTAGTTGTAGAAATAAGTTCTAGCCACTTTTGGGGTGCCGGTGAAGTTACTGATATCCCAGAGGACGTCGACGATGGTCTTCTGCTACCTGGCCGACTTGGACACGGGTCCTGTCTTCATTCGTTGCGTTATCATCGGCGCTGGTTCCAGTTTCGGCAGCAAGCATTCGGTGCTCAGATCCATCCACGTTTTCCTGACGCTCTCGGTCAGTTGGTTCTTGTATTTGTAGGCCGTTCTGTCGACCACTGATTGGGTCTTTATACAGTCATCGCCACCGAATTCGCAGACCCGATAGTGATGGAGGATCGCAGCTTCCGAGGGCACGTTCAGAGTCCCGTGGCCTGGAATAAACTCCCAGACGAAATGATTGCCGGCTTCGACTACGTTTTGAGGTCTGCATATATACTTCGAGCGCTGCTTGTGTGGATGTAGCTTCGCCCTGCGTCTCGTCTTCCTCAGTGTGATTAGGCCAGCCTCGATAGGCGTTCGACTGGTCACTATGAACGGATCATCGGCCCACTGAAGGTAAAAGAAAGCGTTCTGGAACGAATACGCTCCGGTGGACTTGGTGTTTATGCGACTGCTCATCCACCTGGAGAACATCAAACAATATTCCTCAGCAAGCTTAACAATATCTAGAGCAACGCTACACAACTGCCCAGTCAGCCAAATCTGCAAAGCCAAATTTTATCCACTGCCTGTTATAAAGTTATGGCTACAAGTTTGATGCAAGATTTGTTATAAACAACTTGCGTGCACATTGGCAGCAACATATGCAGCAAATTGGCTTGCGCAAACCTTGTTTCAATTTGCTTTACCATTCTCTCAGCTGGCGTTGCCTGAAAAACCAAAGTCAAATGCGGAAACAAATGGTTATGGCTTTTTAGATAACTTTTGTCAATTATTGTTGGCAATTTGCTCGAAACTTGTCCACAACTGGTTATCAGGGTGGACTGCTTTTGGGCATCTGTCGTTGCTCGCAGGTAAATCGTGGAAGACTGTCACCAGGGATAAACATACGATACGCGATCATGGAATTGTTGCCCAAAGTTACTCAGCTTTTTACGGTTATACGGCTTAAAATCTAACCGTTGGTAGATTTTCTACAAGGTTTTATTCGAATCAGTGAGTAACACCTTCCACAGTTGTCATGTCAATCATTCTGAATTTCAAAGTAATTACATGATCGTTGAGATTTGAACGCGAATCATTGGAGATTTGAATGCGCCCGAAGAAACTCGCCGAATAAGATCCCTTGTCGCAGAAAGGTGCACAAGAGTTGTGCAATGCTGATCTAGACGCTGATGCAACTCGAAAAGTGTGTTTCCAATTGCAAGGTAAGTGAAAAGCATACAATAGTAATTTTTTGTTTATAAACGTTCAGAACGTGAGTGCAGATATCTGGCAAGGGGCATACAGATAGGGTGGATAGTATTCGAACAAGTGTGTTTCAAATAAGTTTTCAATATATTCACAAGTTGTACCCGCTAAAAATGTACCATATTTTCGGAGGATTAATTTCAAAAGTCTCTTCGAAAGTTTTTCATGATACTATTGAAATATCGTAATAGTTCTAGGTTCCTACTCTTTGGTTACTTTTTCATTATTTTCGACTTTCAAAATAAAAACATATGCCAAAAATATTAAGTATGAAGGCTGCACTAGATACTTTTGTGCAACAAGTGGAGTCCTGGGTATTCATACAAAAGGTACACTGATATATGCATTAAATTCATAATTAATACTGGAACTAGATTACAATTATTAACAAATTAAAGAACAATTATTGTATATTGTAATTGTATTTGTCTAATTATCCGAAATTGGGAGAAGATAATTATCACAATTGCTATGTGTTTTCCTAAGTTTCTTTGTAGTAAAACCAATCGGACGTGTATAGTATAACAATCCCACTGTACTTTCTTTCTTGCGAGTTGATAACATACAAACTCAGGACGCTTGATGTACCCGGGTACCCCGATTATTATTGAACAATTGTGAACATTTTGTTTATTCACAAAAAAGTTTAAATGATGAAGATTAACTTTTAGGTATCAGCCTTTCATGTGTAATTGTAAGGTTATTTTATGAAGCGTTTGTAGAAGAGAGTAACTTTTGTGTACCGGTGTATAAAAGTTGTTGAACTCTCGTCCATGTGAATCACAATAATGCCAAAACTGCAGATGTTTATACAAATATATTAGGGTGTAAACTAAGTCCTTGCGTTTTTTAGGGTTTTTTTAGGGGATAATACATAGGAGATTTTCTAACGAATTCTGTAATCTCCTTTGTTATTTGCCAATCGCAGCGCGGAGCCAACGCTACCGCGGGAGCTCCGCCGGCAGACTCGCGCTCTGATTGGTCAGGGTTTTTCGTTAATATCTCGTTAACGAAGCCTCAGATAATATTTTTACTAAGGAAAAACTTATTTCAAATGGACTCACGAATCTCCCATTTCCAGGTCCTCCAACATTTTTGAATCAGATGTATAGATTCTTTGTAAAGTTTTTAAGTAAGTGATAATTTGTTAACACAGAATTAAAAGCTGTGTTGCATCGCGCAAACATCGAGAATACTCCCGTAAATCGACAAAATAAATAAATAAACAAAATTGGTGAATATTATTCATTACGAAAAATCTCACCTTATGAGATCAATGGTTGTGTCATTGTGCCTTGGTATAATGAACTCGTCGAGATCCACCAATGCCACATACTCGTATTTGTACATGGATCGATAAAGGCAATCATTCAGAGCAGCGAACAATCCCTCCGTTCGAATTTCACGCTGCGAGACCATGTCTAAATGATGCCAGGGTAGCACGGTCACGAGACCTTTCGCTTCGTAATACTTCAGTGCGCATCCGGCCTCCGTACCAACTGTGTCATTGTAAAGAGTCACATGCGTCGCGCCAAGTAGCCCATACAGCTCGATAAACTCCACAAGTTGCAGCACCTACGACATTTTCACACGTTAGATATTTGAAATGTTTCTTTACTTTTCTTTTATTTTTTTTACTGAAAATTCTTCAATTTGACTCAATTGAGCTTAGCTGAATACAGGGTGTAACAAAAATGTTAGAGGACCCAGAAATGGGAGACTCGGGAGATTATTTGAAACAAATTTTTCCGTAGCAAAATGTTATCCGAGGCTTTGTTAACCAGATATTACCGAAAAACCCCCACCAATCAGAGCGCGAGTCTGTCGGCTGACTTCCCGCGGTAAAGTTGGCTACGCGCTGGGATTGCTAGCCAACGCTACCGCGGGAAGTCGGCTGGCCGACTCGCGCTCTGATTGGTCGGGGTTTTTCGTTAATATATGATTAACGAAGCCTCGGATAACACTTTTGCTAAGGGAAAACTGATTTCAAATCACCTCAGGAATCTCCCATTTCCGGGTCCTCCAACATTTTCGTTACACTCGGTAGAACTTTGTTGAAATTTTCAAGGCCTTACGCACTCTGTTGTAATCGTAGTGCAGAGGCTTCACGCAAATGGCCAGCAGTTCCTTGTTTTCCGTCCTGGATTCTGGCCGGTTTTGGACAAGAATGCGATTGGTCGGGACTGCTTTCAGCCTGGCCACGACGACTCACCGTTTCCGGTACTCTATCACTAGCGGGCGATTCCTTAGGCAGTGGGCAGATCACGAAACAGGCGCTGTATTTCAAATTCCAATTCTCTCTGATAACCTGTCGGGTCGCGATTGGTATACTTATTAATTCGAATAAAAAAAAATCTTATCATAGAATCCAAATGTTTGTCATAAAACCCAGATAGCACATGATGCCCAGTGACGCCTTGAAGACGGCTTAAAGGCGCCTTAGACCTAAAATAGCCGTAAAATGGGCGTCTTCCAAGCGTCATGTGCTGTCTGGGAAATAAGTCATCGATTAATAAGATAGATTCAATGTGCAATTAAATCAGAACAGGATAGCATTCTCAAATACCTGGTGTCAAAAAGTCATGGTTGCGAATAAGCAATAGGAAAATTGAGATTGAAACTCCAATTTTATTGCGTCATTTTAATATATTTTATTAATTTTCCAAAAATTGTTTGTCAATATTGAGGTTCTTTGATTCCCATTTGAGTTTGTATATTTTTGCTAATTTCGGATGCAAATCATCAGTTACGGAAGTAAGGAAGTGACATTAATTTGCCAAATAAATAGCAGAATCTTAATAATAAAATTTAGGTAGTGTAAAATACATATAAATTTTTGTACATGTTACGATAAGTAAGTGTATTTTGAGAAAGCGATACCATGGCGATACGGCTCATCGCGGCATCGGCACACGCCACGCGACGTACATTAAACTTTATTTCATTTTTTAATGTTCCCGAAATTGCTCCATCTTTTTGAGACGCGTATTTTAAAACTGAAAATTCGAGGAATCCAGTGGTATTTTTCCCAAATTGATCCATGGGTGGAAACAGGGTCAAATCGGCACTTGAAAATGTACCTTTAATTGTTATTGTATTTATTAACAATAAATAAAATGTTGTGCATACAGTTAGCTAAATCGTTTCTTTACTTTAAAACGAGAGCAAGATCAATGCTCTATGTTTAAAAATAACCAAAATATTGTGGTTGAAGTGATGTCATGTCAGCTGATTTCGTCCAATTTTTCAAAAATTTGACATTAAATATTTCGGAAACGGTTTGCAATAGGAAACTAAAATTTGACATGGTCCATTTTTTCGGGGTTATCAACAAATGCTGTAAATTGAAAAAAGATCGGTCACTATAACCAAAATTCCCTGTGCGTTTTGATAAGGAATGGCTCCTAGTGAAGCATCTGATAAATTTAAAACAATCAGCCTCTTACGGGGCCACCAATTTTTGTAACGTAGAAACAACACGTTCGATTAAAAATACACTAAGTGATCGTGTCGGGTGATCAATGTTAGTGGTTGTCTAGTGAAGTGAATACATATTCGGTGCAATAATGCACTTAACGTTACGACTGTTAACCTCGGCTGGTGCCGTACACTTGCGACCACCTGTGGACTAGGTGCTACCCTTTCATAAACCATTTCGTCCGTCGATGACCAGTATCAGTACAGTGACCTAATGAATGCTTTGCAAACTGCAGATGAATTTCCGAAAGGGTGAGTTCTATTCAATTTATGTAAGGACGGGATCTTTGAGCGGTTGGAATGAGCAAAGTTCTCTTGTGAGTTGAAACGATGGAATATATATTTATTTAGAGGTTATCGAGGTTGCCTCGAGCTAAGGCTGCAGCGGACTCCCCCCAAACCCGCCGCCACCACTCTCCCGTATTCCCGCCTGTATTTAACGGCGATAATTCTGTAAGTGTTCATACGTAAATTTTTCTTCGGGCTTAAGGAGACTTGTTCATTATCCGTAACATTGTTAACCGTTATTAAGCTACGTTCATTTTCTGTTACGTTACCTTTTCGTTAATACATTATTTGAAAAGGAAATTTACGTAATCCTTACCACCTCACTCCAAATAATTATTTTCGATTCTGTTTTAAAAAAAAGGAACCGTGTATTCGTCTTTCTACGTTACACATTATTTGCCTCCATTTATGCTTTATTCATTAATCACTTTAAGTGACAAACAAAAATGAGAAAAAGTTGGATTTTATTGGTTACGTCTTTTTATTAGCTACTGTACGTAGTTTCCTTCGATGCATGCCGACTTTTTTGTTTGTTGCTTTGTAATAGAAGCGCAACTCGTAGCCATCGCTACGGCGGGAGCTCGGCCGGTAGACTCGCGCTCTAATTGGCCGGGGTTTTTCGTTAATATCTCGTTAACAAAGCATCGGATAACATTTTGGTTAAGGAAAAACTTGTTTCAAATCACCTCACGAGTCTCCCATTTCCGGGTCCTCTAACATTTTTGTTACACTCTGTATGTCGCGCGGCGTGTGCAAATTCCGCGATTAGCCAAAAGTCTTATACCGGCTTTACATAAACGTTCCTGCGTGGGCGATTGCGTCACATGCCGGTGTGCAAATAAATTTATTCGAAGTGAATTTATTCAACCCGTCAAATAACTAAGGGTCTAAGAGAAAATCGAACAGCAAATCGATAGAGCAGAAAAAACTTAAACGCGACCTTCATTACGGAGAAAGTTGGTGCTATTTTTTTTTTAACGTAACTAAAATTTATGATTTCATTCGGTTCGTTAACACACCTTCACTTTAGCGGTTACCGTTAGGGAAGCGGTGACGTTTCCACCATTCTCCGTTTGGTACCAAAACCTACACCACACGCGTTCCGGTCCTCTTGTCTTTGTCGCGCTTATAATGCGCACCATGCCCTGATTTTTAACACCACCGACCCTGTCGTCGAAGTATGCTGAATATACGAAAAATTTGAACCTGGGAAAAATTTATTCCCATTAGTATTGGACAAAAACATTGAATTCAGAAGAATATTTCAACAACGTTATTTGAGAACGATGAATCAATTTAACTATGCATAGAAAAAATTTGTTTGAGTTGGATTTGAGGTTTTACTCCCCCCGAAGGATCATCAGAACCTAAGTGCAAACAATACATATTCAGAAGAAAACCTTAGAATTCAGAGGGGGATGTAAAATTTACATTAATATTGGAAGAAATTATGTCAGAAAGTTAAATTAAAATACCTCCACTTTAAAAAAATTGATCTGATCATGTTTCTGATTATGAGTAGGATATGAGGATACTTAAGGGGAAGTTAAACTTAAAAATAGATATTCAAACATTTTATTGGATTTCTCTTAATGGGTTCACCGAAAGTTCAACGTGAACAATAAATATTTAGAAAACTGTTATCGGTGTTGGTACAGACCTGGTTTTCGTGACTGGTAACCATTCGGCGTCCGTGATCCTCACGCTCTGATCGAGTTGAGGTAGACGAGCTTCTAAGTTTGGTGGTAAGCTTGGTAAACCTCTCGGGTCGGGTTGTATCGCGGTCTTTTGCCCTCCGTCTTCTCCGTGCACAAGTAATCCAATATGATCGTCAAAGCTACCCTTCAATCCGATATAATCTTCAGCCTGCGAGAGCCAAACGGAACCGTTTCATAATCTTCCCCCTAGAGGGGACACATACAAATATACAAGGTGTAACAAAAATGTTGCAGGTGCCTGAAACGTGTCACTGGGAGGCGATTTCGAAAAAGTTTTTCCTTAGCAAAAATGTTATCCGAGGCTTCGTTAACGAGGTATTAAATAAAATCGAACTTTTATCATATTTTGTTTGTCATTTAAAGTGATTAATGAATAAAGCATAAATGGAGGAAAGTCATGTGTAATGTAAAAAAACGAATACACAGTTCTTTGTTTAAACAGATTCGAAAATAATCATTATTTGAAGTGAGATGATAAGGAATACGTAAATTTTCTTTACAAATAACGTATTAACGAAAAGGTAATGTAACAGAAAATTTACGTACAGACACTTGCAGAATTATCGCCGGAAATAAGTCATAGCCTGCGTTAAATTAAAAAAATAATAATCAGCAATGAATTGAATAGAACTCACCCTTTTGGAAATTCATCTGCAGTTCGCAAACCTGTGTGCCTAGTCACTGGACCGATCCTGGTCATCGACGGACAAAACGATTTATGGCAGCCGTAGTTAAGAGTTGTAATGTCAAGTGCGTCCAAGTTATTCCACCGAATATGTATTCACTTCATTGCACAAGCACTAACACTGATCACCCGACACGATCACTTAATGTATTTTTAATCGAACGCGTCGTTCCTACGTTACGACAATTGGTGGCCCCAACAGGGGTCGATTGTTTTCAATTTATCAGCTGTTCCACGTAGCCAAACGCTTGCATAGCAGCAACCCCATTTCCGTTATTATGTGCGCACTACCAGAACATTGCGTAATACTCCTGTGAAGTGAACATCTCTGTTGCCCAATTACTAACCGACTAACAGAATTTTTCCGCAAGAGCTTCCTCTACCCTAAGTAGTTTTCCATCGTTCCATTGCGAGTTCACTCTTACCACGGCAATAAGATTTAGGTAACAAGAAAACCAGAGAAGCAGGAAAAAACATTTCACCGACACACGTTGAGTTGATGCTGTTTGGCCGTTCAAGCACCTTAGCAGAGGTCGAAGCGGATGTTTCACTATAGAACGCAGGGACCGTTTATACCTGCAGCTTGAGTTTCAATCATTTGAGGATCGACCAGCAATGCATACCGTAACAGAAATATCTGGAAATCGTAAAAGTGCACTATCTGTTTAATTATATGCATTGAAGTACTCCATCTTACATGAAATACGAGAAAACATCAAACATAATAGGGTCATTCCACGCCAAATCGAACACTTGTTTTTCTCTATGTCTGGGATTTTATTGAAAATGTGCTATGATGTAATCGACGTAGAATTGGGGGGGGGGTGAAGTCACCATTTTTCGAGTTTCGAATTGGTTTAGAAAATACAGGCCATATTCGTGAAAATGGATTGTACTCATGAATTTATATCTTGGAAACTATCTGTCATATTCGGTTAATTCCTCCTTCTGTTCTAATCGAAAAGGACCAGCCTTCCTGAATAAATTTCTTCCAGGTCAAAAAATCATTTTTGCAATAGTAAAAATTATAAACAAATTCTTATTGTACAAAGTTTATCTCGAGATCGCAATGTTTAAAATCCGAAAAAAAAAACACTACCATACTCGTTGAAGTATTTTCCATAAATATTAACGTCGCAGTAAGCTATTAGACAATGGTGCGCCTCGGTTCAGGTAAAAGAACTGGGCGCTCCGCTATTACGGTCGACTACCGTGCTGTTACCACTCTAGATTATTTCAATTTGAACTCACAATGTAACGATAGAAAACTACTAGAGGGCAGAGGAAGTTCCTGCAGAAAAAATTTGTCAGTCAGTTAGCAATAGGGCGACAGAGATGTTCAGTTCACAGGAGTATTACACAATGTTCTGGTGGTACGTCCAGAATAACGGAAATGCGGCTGCTGCAGTGCAAACGTTTGGTTACGTGGAACACCTGCTAAATGGAAAACAATCAGCCCCTTTTGGGGCCACCAATTTTCGTAACGTAGGAACAACACGTTTGATTAAAAAAATGTTAAGTGATCGTGTCAGGTGATCAGTGTCAGTACTCGTGCAGTGAAGTGAATACATATTTGGTGTATTCCCGGGCGCAATTGACGTTACGACTCTTAACTCGACTAGTGCCGTACACCTTCGATCACCCGCGAACTGAGCGCTACCCTGCCATAAACCGTTTCGTCCGTCGATGACCAGGATCGGTCCAGTGACCTAGTGACACAGGTTTGCAAACCGCAAGTGAATTTCGGAAAGGGTGAGTTTTATTTCATTAATTGGTTATTATTATTATTTGAATTTCAATTTTTCTTCGGACTTTTTAAAGAGACTTGTTTATTATTATCAACGACGTTAGCCGTTATTAAACAACAAATTTTTATCTCAATAACGAACTACCGTTACGATCGGTTTACGTTCATTATTTCTTACATTACTTTTTCGTTTATACGTTACTGTATTCATTTATCTGTCCCCTAAGGATTACAAAGAGTTTCCGTTCCTTTTCCCTAC